TAGTTGCCCTTTTCAAGCTCAATTGTGTGATTACTTGTAGGGAGTAGAGGAAAAACTGCCAGGGCCCTTCTTTGTTGTACCCAGAATGATTAGGGCTCCCTTCTGGAAGGTGAGGGAGATGGTCTTGAATCTTTTCAGGCAGAGGGAGAAATGGAGCATGGGTTTTCTTCAGATTCCAACATCTGGGCTATTGGCTAAAAAGGGAACCTGTGCTTGGGATGGCTGTTCTGTGTGCAAATCTAGCTTCTTTCAGGCACTTGCAAGAAAAGAAAATGGGTTGTGTTGTCCTAAGTGGAACACAACTCCTTTCACCTAAAGTAAAACTTGGTGCCTTTGTGGTTTGATGGGACAAAATGGTGCTTATTTGGGGGCAGATCAATTTGTTTATTTATTTTATTCTCTGTTTAGCTGAACTAAAAACTAATTGGTTTTTTGCACAGCTGTGGAGTGTCAGTGAGGGAGAGGAGCTGGCTGATCACTGGAGATGAGCCTGATGGCCTGAAAGGAGCAAAGGAACATGTGGAATAAAAGATGCTCTGCACTGTAGCTTCCAATTGCATTTGAAGGTTCAGGTTTGGGGAAGCCATCAGTGTGGTTTTCTGTTATGACAAAGTGCCCATGTGTCAGTGCTTTGTTAGTTAATAGCAAAAAAAAATTGTCCTGGGTTGAGGGGAGATGATGTTGTATCTCTTGCTATAAATATCTTCTGGTGCCTGTTTTCTTTGGTCTCCATAACATTCCCAGACAGCAGCATAAAGGCGACAAGATTTTGGATGGCTTCACTGCTGCGTGAAGAATTCTGAATAGCAATAGTGAAACAGGCAAGTCTTATTTTACTCTGTGACTGCTTAAGCTCTGAAGAGCAGCAGAGGTGCTATACTGTAGTTGTCTGTCTGCAAACTTAGGAAGACTGCTATATCTGTTCACTTCTGGATTTTTTTTGCCAACCAAGAAATTGATGCCTTGGAGACCTCCACCATTTGCCTTGCTTTGAGAAATACGTGCACAGATTGGGCTTCATCTCCTGAACCCAAAGAAGTGCAACATCATAAGTGATAAAAATCCAAACCATGTAAGAGTGCAGTTTAAAATGTAGGACTAATGCTTTCTGCCTGTCGTTTTGCTCTTCAGCTTATGAATAGCGCTGAGTTTTTATGCACCTTGCACATGAACTGAAGGCCAAAACAAATGCTGCTTCCAGCAAAAAGCAGCTGAAGTAGTGAGCAGAGCTTCTTGTCCTTTGGTCTCCTTTCCCTTTCCTATCTTCTGCAGATTCTGATCACTGTAGGCTCTGGAGAGGGCCCCAGAGGTGAAAGGTCAGTGTTTCACCTATTAATCCTGCAGCTTCTTAAGGTGTCTCTTTAGTGATGTCTTGGAAGCAGATAGGATAGTCAGAGTGAGATTCAACAGCCAGCGTTCAGGCTGAGAGAGGAGCAGTTACTTAATGTCTGCCTGCAAACAGGGCAGCAGGAACTGTTCAGTGAGGTTAAAAAAACAAAACCAAACCCAAGCTCTTCCCAGGTGGAGGTCTGTCTTCTGCATAGTTGGCATTCCTTGTGGGGGAGGGGAGGCAGGCTGCAAAAGTCCAGCGGCCCTTTGTATTTAAAGTAGAGTCAGATAATTGCATTCTGAGCTTCTTCCATTTGGCAAACATTGTCCTTCAGGGCATTATTTATCAGGGCATTAGTACTGCTACAGCAGCTGAAATTGCTCACTGTGCCCACAGCATTCTAGTCAAACACATGAGAAGGGTTTCTGCACTGGGGAGTTGAATAGACAGAGGCTGTGGGTTGGGGAGTGACAAAAGGACAAGTGTAAGTACAAGTTAATGCACAGCTTTTTGCCATAGCTGTGCACTATACTGACAAGTACAAGATGTCGCCGTTCCTAGAAACTTACCTCGTACAAGAGTTTGGATTTTTTGGCTTCTCCCTCAGGCTACAGATAAAGACATTCAGGAAATCTTAAGCTGTTTGGAGTGAGGCAGGTGTTGGGGTTCAGGGAAGTCTGTGTTCATTCCTAGCTGCGTGCTTACCACACGTCTGTGCCTGGGAGGAGCTGCCAGCGTGCTGGCCTGCAGCACTTTGAAGCAATTGGCAATTGCGTGTGGAACTTCGCTCCCCGTTTCGTCTGCTGACAGACGCACAAGACTAAAATGGGATGTATTTGGTAGCTGTGTTGGTCTTAGACAAAAATAAATGATACCTTTTATTAGACCAACTAAGACATCACAAAAAAATTATCTTTCTTTGTGTATCATTTCTGAACGAAGAGTGCAAGAGTCTTGTATTTCTTGCAGACTAGAATAGCATTTATTTCTGTCTTTGGTGAGTAGGGGCAGGCCTGGCTTCATATCGTATGACTCTCTGTTAGGTACTTGTGTGACGAGTGCCTCCATAGTACAGTGAGGTATTGGGGCTGTACCAAGGGATCGGGAGTGCCTCCATGTGTTTCCAGATTACAACCAAGGTACATGGCAGCCTTTGCCGTCACACAGCTGATGCCGCACTTGCACAATTCACCTTCTCTTAGCTTCCACAGGTCCCTGAAGATTCACCAAAGTCCTGCCCAGCCTGGGTATCTCACGAGCTGGTGGAAGTGCTGAGTAGCGTCTCAGTATATGATTGGTTAGCACTTGTCTCTGGTGTCTGGCTGTTTCCTCAAAGGTATACTGCATCTTAAAAATAAGCAGTGTGACCCATCCCATTCCAAGCCCCTGGGATTACTAAAACTCAACAAGTAAATCCACTCTTCTAGACACGTTGCAGCCCCTAAACCAGAAACTTTCTGCCTGAGATCGTAACTTGTAAATAAGCAGTTGGGAGTACAATAAAAAATTAAAACTGGAACCTGTTAGTGAATGGAGGCTGTCTTACCTATCTATCACAGGTAGAGCCAAGCTTGTCCGTTTTTGTGGCAGTTAATGTTCAGTGCTAATTAAGCATAGTAAGGAAGGGGTCCATATAAGGTATGGTTTCCTTATGCTGGTGAGCTGCCCCCAACTCTGGCAGGGGAACTGCAGAATCCTGCCGTCTGTTTTTGGCAGGTGAATAAGATGGTAACTGCAGTTGACAAATCAGTGATGCCAGTTGTGTGAATGTATTATCTTAAGCAGTCATCTTTCTCTCGCTTAGACAGATCTATTTGTAGATGGAAATGCACAAATCAGGAATGTTAGTCCCTGCCACACAAACTGGGGTGGGTTTTTCTCCTTTTGAATGTAAATGGCTTGTGACCTGTAGAGATGAGCTATGTTAGTAAATTTACTTGGGGAAGCATTTGTCACCTGTTTTATCAGCACTTTTGAAGTGTGGCTGTGAATGCATGAATCCAGATCTAAAGGGAGATATCTGTAGACAACTTAGCACCTGTTTTTGAGAGCCCTTTTTATCAGACTTATAATCATAATTGAGTGAAAAATACCATTGGGAAGGGAAGCAGCAGCACTGAGGTGAGTTTCTTCTACTTTCAAAACTAATCCTGAACAGTACAACTGGTTTGATAAGATGTTTCCTGTTTAAATGCATGATAAAATATATATCCTTTGGCCTTAAGGAAGCCCCAGCCAAAAATCTCTTCCTAGTTTAGCTGTTTGGGTGGTTTTTATTACTTTGAAGCTGGGCTTTATCTGCTGGCTTTTCTCGGACCACTTGGCTGCTTATCACATCTGTAGATCAAATCTTCAAAGGTTTTGTCTGAAGAGTAGAGATTTATGAGGTCACGTGGACTCTGCCTTGGAGGGACGCAGCCCATGGCAGCAGCATTATGGGCAGTTGCCTTTGTCTGGAGGTGATACTCGGTGGGGGAGGGGCTCTCCATTCTTTCCCGGCCGTGCCTATTGTATGGAGCAGTGCTGCTAGCCAGGGGCGCTGAGACGCAAGTGCTGGCCCACTTTTAGTGCACAACGCAAGGGGCTTGTGGGAGAAGGGAGCGCATTCCTAGACACAGACTCACCGCGTTGCTGCTTCCAGCAAAGCTGTGTGAAATGTCAGAAGGAATTACCCCCGTGCTGGAACTGACAGCTGCACCGGGGTTTGCAGTGCTGGTGTCCACTGAAATCCTACAGCCAGGCTTAAAGCTTCAGCTTGGTAGAAGAAAGCGATGATTTCTATTTTCCATAATTGTGGCTGCAGAGATGAGGACTGACAGTCTGGCTTTCTAGCTGAGTGTCAAAAGCAAGTACAGTTGTTTAACCTGCAGACAGTGCCCCCCTGCTATTCCAGCCCAAAGCTCACCGTGTGCTGTGCGAGACAGTTGCCTCCAGTAAAAGCAGGTTTGGCTAATTCCTTGTCCGGAGTATGGTAGGGATTTTCAGGCTGTTTTGAGATGAGGCAGCTTTTACTGACTATAAATACAGGAGGACTAATAACTGTAGCGGATGTACTTAGCATGTTTCAGAGCAGTGGACAAACGGTACTGGCATACCAGGGCCTGGGGTTCAGCATGTGGCCAGAGGCAGAGCAAGATGAAGTAGCCCTCTGTGGGAGCTGTGGCAGTGACCACTTGGCTCTAACAAACTGTTCCCTGGTGCGTGTTGCATCCCTGCGCTGCTGTTCGTGGGGTCTGGGCCGGCGAGTTAAACTGTCAGGCTTGGTTGCTTCCTTCTGCCTGATGCAGCCAAGGCCAGAACTGGGGCAGTAAGCTGTTCTTCCTTGGGGTGAGCTTCACCGTGCAGTTCTTTTTTCTCAAGAGGATTAGCAAGCAAGTTGAAAGCACAGTGAAGATGGTGTACAGCCCATGTCTGATCTGGGCGCTGTGTGATGGGTATTAATCTGACAGATCCAGAGGCTTGGATTTGTGTGTTTAATTCTGCCTCCCCAGACTTCAGTGACACGCTACTGTTGCTCTCCAGCGCAGGATTTCATGGTAAGGCACTTGGCTTTTACTTTGGCAGAAGCTTCTACCTTTCTGCTTCCTATCGTAGCCTCCCTTTGGCTCACAACTCCACCCCTAGTGAATAAGGTCTGTTTCCTCACAGCGTCTTCAACCACCCACGTCTCTTCTGTGAAGGGCTCCTCCTCCTCTCCCACCCTTGGGTGGGAGGAACCTGAGAAGGGAAAGCTCACTTGACAGCAGTTAGCTGGCAGCAGAGCTTGTGAGCACTCCAGCAACAGAATGGCTCTCCAGCAAAGTTAATAGTTAAATTATCCCTCCCAAGGGTGCGATTGCTGCTGAAGTAGAGGAGAAGATGGTTCCAGTCATGGGAGCCAGGAAAGATCTGAAGAGAAATGGGCAGCTCAGGCCCCTGGCACTCCTTGGGCAGCTTCCAAGAGAGGTGAGGAGTCTGAATCAGCACAAGGTGAAGTGAGTCCTTGCTCCTGCCATGCTGCCTGAGTGGAGCTGCTCAGAGGTGGTCGGACAGGTTTGCGGCTGAGTCAGTCGGTTATCCAGTGCTTGAAGATGGGAAGTTACTTGTCTCTCCCAGCTTACTTTGCTCCCAAGGATCCCTTTCGGTAAGTATCATAGGCAGACGGCGTCTTCCCTCAAGGCTGCGTCTCTGCCCGGCATATCCTATAACGTCATCTTGAGCAGCTGGAATGTCAGGTTCCTGGAGCCAGCTTCACCTCCGTCTGGGGAAGTGGCCAGGCTAGGGCAGGGAGCTCTGTACTTTGTGAAGTGTGAAGACCAAGTAGAGTTCTCAAACCAATCTGTGTGCATTTTGTGCTTGGATTGTGCTCTGTGCTCTTGCACATAGCTGTTCAGTCCAAATGTATGCGAGTGCCCAGCCTGGATGTGTACCAGCAGCAGGCTCTCAGTGCAGACCGTTGGCACCAACTTACCTACTACCTGCCAGGCTAAAGCCAGAAAGAATGTGATTTTTTTTTTATAGGCATTCTTAACATCTCTTTCCAGACAGCTCATTTGCATCAGGCCCACAGATACACGAGTGTCATGTGCTCTGTGCTGCTATAAGTCTGAGAAGTTGATAATCCGTAGCCATGAATGTGCAGTCGTATCTGATTGGGAAAAAAAATCCCGTGCTTTGCAAGCAAATCAGTAGCTCTCTCCCCTCCCCCTCCCTCCAGCCCCTGGATGATTCAGAACATCACTGTTTGGTTTATGTAAAATCCCTTTCTGTATTTGAATGTCAGGCATATGGGCCCATTCAGATGTTTGAGAGCTCTAAGGGGCTTCAATTGTACTAGTACCTAGGTGTTAGGAAAGTGCTTTTAATGCTCTCCCTGCAACTGTGGTTTTGTTAGCCTGAGAGATCAGGGAGAACTTTGATTAAAACTGCCTGTATCTGAAAGCCACTTGAGGCTTGTGTCCCAGTTTCATCAGGCACCTGACACTGCCCTGTTCACACTGGCTTGCCCTGCTCCGCAGTCTGGCTTTTAGAAATCCATTCCCCACCACTGGGTGGGGAGAGTAGCTAGCAGCAGTCTATGCATGTAATGTATACATGTGTTGGCATACTGTCTGAAAGGTGCGTTTCTGTTGAGCCCAGGGGGTACCATAAGAAACATACGTGTGGAAGGAGAGCCTACCTCCCTTGTCTTCTGTTTGTAACACTTAAGAGGTGTTTCCTAGGGTCTTTGCCATTGCCCTGGTAATCTCCAGGGTATTAGACAATGTTGAGCTCTGAACGGGGAGGAGAAGCCAACCCTTTGGTTAGGGTTAAGGGGTATACTGTGTTTCCACTTGTTTCCCTCTAGGTGCCTCTTCTTCCCCTACCCTTGGAGATGTAAGTGCCACTCTTTTGAAGCCATCTTGGGTTTAACTGTTAGCCTGACAGTCCAAGAGCAGTTCCAATTAATAAACTCTTTTGAAGGGTGCCAGTCCTGTTGGTGTGGGCTTCTTTTCCATAAACACCCTGGCTTTCTTTAGGTGTAAAGGAGGTGGCTTGTCTGCCTTGTGAGTCAAAGGGTCAGGCACGTAGCAGCCTTCCCCCAAACCTGAGCATTCAGCAAGGGACAGGGATGCCTTCCACTCTGGGCTCCTGCTGAGTTACAGAATGAAGCAGCCTTGGGGCCAAACGCTGCAAGGTGCAGATCTTCAGCTGAGATGGAACCTGTTTCTCCAACGTCTCAGAGATGCTGAGGATAGGAGCTGCAGGGGACATGGCAGAGTTTGCATAAGCAGCTTGTTCACGTGAACCTGGGTCAGTTTGGGCAAAACCCAGCTCTTTTCTGCAGCTGTAAATGCTCTTGCTGTTTATCCCCCTTCACTCTTGTGTGAAGCGGGGAAAAGAGCAGCCCCTCCTAGGCAGCTGTTAAGGAACTGTATTGTGCTGCATGGCATCCTGTGGAGCAGCAGGGTTGTAGCTTTCTTGGATTCCCAGCAATGTTGCTCCTTTGGTAGAGCAACTTGGGGCTGGTCTTTTGTAGCTCTGACCTGCTCCCGCCATGTTCTGAGCCTCTCCCTGCCCATGAGGCAGCTGAATCAGTGTAATGGCTTTGGCAGCTTGTGGCACAGCCCACAACTGAGCCGCATTCACTTCCACCCCTTTGAGCTGCATTTCCAAGGTTACTGGAGAATGGGCATGCTTTTCAGGAATGTGTTGCTCTTTGGTCAGCCCAAGTGAGGGCAGAACTCACTTGATCTCTCCAGAACTTCCCTTCCTAGGCCTCAGTGACCTCTGCAGAAGGTGGAGGGGTCTCCTCTGGAAGTCAGAATCCTGACAAGTGTGTCTGTGCTCAGAAAACTGTTCCACAAGAGCTAGCTGGCTATGTAGCTGTGCACAGTATTTTGCTGTACCTAGAGCTTGGAAACCTTCCACCGATGGTGTCCCAGATAGGGAGAAAAGAAGCAGTCAGAAATTCCTGTGGCTGTGATAGCAGAAGGCAGATTGCAAGGGGACATGAGTGGTACAGAGGATGGGCGGTTGTGGTTCCTGACAAATTGGCACGTTTCAGTTACTCTGATCATGCAATGAGGAACAGATCCCCTGGGATTAAACATGTGCAGATCTTCCCATGGGCTTCAACAGGTGTGTGGGGAGAGAGTGGATTTTTCTCCCCAGCTAGGTGTGAGGAGGGTGGGATGGAGTCACTGAGAGAGTAGCCAATAAGTCCCTGCACTGGTGTCCTAGCTGGTTTGGCATAAGCCTAGAGATTTATTTCTTGAGGTCTGTGCTAACTTCCATTCTGATTGCAATGGAGGGGAGATGGCAATATTTTTGCAGAGAGAGGGGGAGGCTCCTTTCTTTACATCTCCATACAGGGACTTAAAAATTATCTAGAAAAGGGTGCATACTTATAGCAGTGAAAGAGCCATTTGTGACTTCTGTGTAGACTCAAGAGAAACCTGATGCTGTCTTCTCTATTAGTCAAGGTGTGGTCAGTGGTAGTAAAAGGGGGTATCTTGTGGTATGGTGTTTAACAAGTTCTTTCTGCCAACAGTGACTCATGGGGCATTTAACAATGGCTTGTGTTTCTGACTTGTTGCACTTTGTTGCTGGTAGTGTTGCCTCATTGTTCTGGGTGGGGTTTTGAGCCCTTTAGCTGCTATCTTATCCTGTCCAGATTTGTTTAATCGCATAGCAAAGAGCTGACTGCTTGGAGTCTCCACCCCACTTCACCTTCCCTTTACAATGGGTCTGCGGCCTTAGCAATACCAGAACTCTTATTTCCAGGTGGAAGCTGGTAACCAAACTGCTCTGATAATGAGACTGGGATGAAGGGGAAAGGCTAGGATGAGACACATGGAAGTCGTTCAGGAAGCTGCGAACCATTGTCTGGAGCTATGGCCATGTGACCTCATTGAAACTGAGAATTAAGTAAGAAAAAAACCCAAGGCTATGACCTTGGGGGTTGTTTGGGTAGGGTCTTAAAGTTGCAATGTAGATGGATAAGTCACGGAAGGCCCTGCTGGCACTCTCCAATACTACACTCTTCCTGTCAAGTGCAGGTCTGATCAGGACTCCTTGTTGTCTGAAGATGTAATCTCTCTCTCTGCTCATGCTGGTACAGACATGCACGGGCAGTAGGAGAGATCTGAAGAATTGTATTTTTGCTAGTGTTGAGCCAGGTGTTCCAGCACCATGCTGATCTGCATCTCTGCTGCTCTCATTCCCCACCCACCACTTAGATCTTTCAATCCAGGGCTGTTTACAACAAGGAAAGCCAAAGGCCAGAAGCTGAAGGAAAGCCATGTTCTGCTGCCCCTCAGGGGTTGTGTGCGTGCCATTAACATGGTGTATTCTTTGCAATACCCGAAGGCCAGACGCTACAATACCAAATGCACCCAGTCTCTATCCTCTTTAGGCAGCACCTATTACATGTTGTAGCACCCTGCAGTGAAGAATCCTTAAGGTTTCACGAATACTGTGAAAGTTGAACTGCTTTGTAAGGAGTCTGTTCCCTTCCCTCCAGGGAAACAACAGTCAGTATCTTATAATTCAGTCACCTCCCTCAGACTGCACACGAACTGTAAACAGCTTCACCTTGGTCTTTCTGCATCCATATGACATGGAGCAAACAGCTTTCCATGCTGGAGCAGAATCTGGGTCTCCTTTCTTTAATGCACATTCTCTTTTTACATCCCACGTGCACAACACCCATGACATAGCTGAGTCCATTCAAAGTTCACATTTTCGTGAGGTTTCTGGCTGTAGTTATCTTGACGGATGATGTGATGCTGGAGGCTTTAAACCAGGAAGTGGGTGCCAGTAGCTTATATGGGGGTGGTAGGGGAGAGACTAGGGGCTCTAGTCATGTCACAGGGTAGGCCCCACACTTTCCAGGTGCCAGTCTGATCCCCTTCCTCTGCCCTGCTTTCTGCTCTCTGTTCTATCTACTGCTGTGCCCTGCTCCCTCCCTGTTCTGCTTTGTGCCATGCAAAGGCTGCCTGTGTCACTTGTGGCATGCTTGCCTCTAGGGGAATGAGAACAGATCTCATCTCTCTATCCTCTTTCCCCTGTCCACTGCCAAGCTGAACTGGTGCCTGTTGTGCTGTGGAGCATTTGCAAAATTTGGCTAAAATGACAAGCAAAACATATAGGTAGCTTTTTGGTCAGTACCAGCCCACATGAGAATGTATCCCATTACTAATGCTTAAGCCACCTTTGCTTTCCTCTTGGGCCTTAGGAGGGCAAGTCATGTTGGCAAGGCCATTGTCAATGTAATGCTTTGAACTTTTGTTAATCATCACTGATCTGCCTATTGTTCCACCTTTTCAAGCTGGTGGCTCATCTCGGAGCCAGTCTTGCTCCTCTGGTTGGTGAGGGCTGACAGCCTGCTGCTGTGAGCTGGAGGAAGGATTCAGCTTGAGTTTTTCAGCAGCCTGACCATGTTAGCAGTGGAGTCCCATCGAGACCTCATAGCTGGATGCAACTGTACCACCGCACGGCAAACCCTCCCTTAGCCTATGAACCACATGAAGATAGAGCAGCAGTGTCCTTAGCACCACGTGTGGGGCTCGGAGACAGACCCATTCACAACTCTGCTGCAGGTCCCCTTTGCGACATGTCACATGGTCTGTACTTGATGTGCCAGAGGCTAGTATCTGAACGGCTTTGAAACCTGTGGAAGTAAGGACTGCTGCTTTCCTTGTTGTCCATTACCAATGTAGAAGGAAAAGCTACAGCTTGGGAGGGAGGGACATGAGTGTTAAAGGGTAAAAGGTCTTGTAAAGCTAGTTACTGAAAGGGTAGTTCTGGAGTAGCCCTTTAGGAGTGGGTCCAGTGTACTGAGCAGAGCTGGTCCTCATTTGCCTCTGCGGTGGGAGTGCTCCAGGAAAGAGATCCTGCCGTTCTTGTGCTTGTTGGAGATTCTGCCACATGATTTGCCCCTCGCAAATCCACTGGGGGGCATGGGGCAGCAGCTCTGACTTGAAGGGGTGTAATTCTGCTACTCCTAGGACTGACCAGGGTACAAGTAATGACATGTTGCTAAGCCTCTTTAACGAAAAGGCATCACAGACCACAGGTTTGTGGTGTCACCAAGGTGGGGAAGCTAGGTGTCGTTTTAAAGTAGATGCATTTTAAGTCAAGACCTAACAAGCAGCAGCACTGTTACTCAAAGCATTGGGAGCAGGATTCCTACATAGTCAAGTGTGTCCTTTCTTTGGGGCAATTTTTATGGGGCAGTTGGAGGGAAACCTGCTACTCTCAGCAGTTCATGAGACTGCCAGCTCTAGTCATATTGCTTTGTCTTCTTCCAGGTGCTCTGAATGTCAAGACCCCCTCACTAACTGGTACTATGAGAAGGATGGGAAGCTGTATTGTCACAAAGACTACTGGGGGAAATTTGGGGAATCCTGCCATGGCTGCTCTCTGCTGATGACTGGACCTGTAATGGTAAGACCTCTGCAGGCCTCTTTTTCCCAGTCCCTTGTGGAGTTCATGTCAGTCATGTACTTGCTGCTTACAGAAAATTGGGTGGGAGCCATTGTGTTGGTGTTTAAGAATATGCAGTAGCTCTTCATCTCAAAGGGATGCTGATTAGTCTTAACTTAGGCCTGTGAAGCAAGGAACTGAGGAAAAGTGCTTTATGCTTCGATTCCAAGGTTGTGCTTCAAGTGAAAGCATTGGGGTCTTGGACTCTACTCCTGTAGCTCAAAACCAAACTGTGGGGTAGTATTCTTGCTCTTTGCCTTTTGGGAGGTTCCTTCTGTCAAATTTCAGTCCTGGACAAGACATTTCCAAAATTGCCCAACAAATGGTTAAATGTCTTCTCGTACCCTCTAGTGGCTCCGGTTAGCCCTGCAATCCCTCAGGCTTTCTGAAGTGTTGAAGCACTATTAGCATGCCAAAAACAACTCAGCAGTGCTCTACCAAACTGTACTGTATTTGTGTGTTTGAATCATCTCAGTCCTGAATGAAACATGACGGGTACTTGAGGTGGGGTCTGAATAAAAGCAGTTCTGGCCAACAAATCCTAGTCCAGGGGCAGAGGTGGCATCTGCTAGTGAAAATAATGCAGATAAAGTCTCACTACTAATTAAAACTGTTGACAAAATAAAACCAACAGGGCAAGCTCCCTCAGGAAGTCCTTCAGGCCATGGAGTATGAACAAGTCAATGTGTTTTGGGTTTTTGGGTTTTTTTTAAAGCACAGTATTCCCTAAGACCCACATCTGCTTTCTGGCTGCTGCCTGCAGAAATATCTGAATCTTATGTGTTGGGGTAACCATCTTGCAAATCTGTCAGTTCAGGCTGGTATATACTTGTCAGCCTGGCCCAATAACTCAGCCAGAAGCTTAATCTCATTCTCGTACCAAAAAGCTGCCTGATGGTTGCCAAAATTTGCACGAGTGCAAAGACCACACCTGCTGCTTTGTATGCTGGCCTGCTGGTTACAGAACAGTGGGCACATCTACAAGTTCATTAGTGCGTAGTAATTACTGAGCATTTAATTTAGTACTTGCTTAAAGAAGTACTAACTGAATGCACAGTAACTAGAGTTACTGTGTAGTAGTGCTGGTGCATGGGTTTTTAGTGATGCTTACTGTGCAGTAGGGTGTTAGCATAGTTTTTTTCCTGACACACTACTGCATGGTGTTATTAGACTGCTGTGCATCATGTAGATGCGCCCAGCGTGTTGTAACATGGCACTGAGCAGGAGGCTCAGGAACTGTGGGAGGGGTTGACAGCCCCCTATCTGGTATAAGGATATTGCTTAGTCTCGGACTCTGTGTGAATGTAACAAACAGTAGGTACACTCTAGCTTCCCCAGTTTCCTTCTAACTGGACCCCTGCTTGATCAGACCTCCTTTGCTTCTCCACGTAGGTAGCTGGAGAATACAAGTACCATCCAGAATGCTTTGCTTGCATGAGCTGCAAGGTGATCATTGAAGATGGAGACACATATGCACTGGTGCAGCACTCCACTCTCTACTGGTAAGATGAGACATGTGAAGCTCCATACTTTGCCGCCAGAATGATACTGTGCGTGCCATTGCCTGTTGTACCTCTAAGCCACCTTCCTTCTTCTGCCTGGTGGCTCAGTTTGGCTCCACTACCAGAGGGGAACTTGCAGTCTCATTTCTAGGGCCTGAGGCACGTTGCGTGGGGCCATTGATGGCTGCTGAGAATGAGAGTTTAGTTCTCACTTTTTTGGGAGCAATAGGACCCATGCATGCAGGGAAGGGATAAGATGGACCAAAGTGATTTTTTGCTTTTTCCTAGTGGAAAGTGTCATAACCAGATTGTGTTGGCACCGATGATAGAGAAACACTCTACAGAATCACTGCGTGAGCAGCTGCCATACACACTGACCCTCATCTCCATGCCTGCAGCCACTGATGGGAAGAGAGGATTTTCAGTGTCTGTCGAAGGGGGTTGCTCCAGTTATGCTGCCAGTGTCCAGGTGAAAGAGTGAGTATGAGGAGGCCATAGTGGCTGTGCTGGGTACTTGTATGTCTGTACAGCGGGAGCCAAGCAAGGGAAAGTGGAGCTTCTGTAACTTCCCTGAGAGTCTTTAATTGCCAAGGTAGAATCTCATGATCATAGCAGCCTGAGTGTGTGTTGGCTGGTCACTGTTGTCATCTTGTATGCTTTTGGCTAGCTTGGGAGGTAACCACTCAATTTAGGGTCCTCCACTGTCTGTCTGTAAGATTGCTTAGGATGGTTATTGTGGTATCAGAAAAGCTAGTGACTTTCCCCAAGTCTGCTGTTTACTTCCCTCTCATTGCTGTACATGAAGAGAGGATCCTCTTTACGCTAGCTTAGACACTAGCACCACAAAACGATTGTCATTGGAACTTAACATTCATCAACAAATCAATGTCACTTCATGTCCAAATCCCATCAAAGAGAATGCTTCTTGGGGAGCAGAGCTATATTCATCCTTCATGATCAGTGTTTAGACTGAGGAGTTTTCCAGCATGATTTTCCTTACATTTAGAGTCAATGGACTGCACATTAGCCCAAATGTCCGAAACGCCATACATCCTGGAGACCGGATCCTGGAGATCAATGGGGCCCTCATTCGCACATTGCAAGTAGAGGAGGTGAGTCTTGTTTGGAGTCCAACTTTCTTCTACCTCAGCATTCTTCCTTCTCTTCCCTGTGAGAGCCTTTGTTGTCCCTCCATTTGAAGCCAGAGTCTGTGAAGGTGAAAATAGCAGCTGGGAGACAGTGGCTTGAAAGAAACTCAGAGTAAGCTGGGGTCAGTCAGGAACCTGAAAGGTGGTAGCCTGGAGATGAGGTGGGTGCTTGACCAAGCCACTGAAATGCAGGCAGCTCGCATGTATCATGAGGCAGACCTGGTTTTAAGGAACTGCTGATCAGTCACAGTCAGATACAGCACTTAATAATCTTTGGCTTGGTGTCTGGGTTTGCTGAGATCCTTTTCCCAGTGAATTGCTTGCAATGCGAACCAGAAGCTGTCAGTGCATGGTTAGACCACTCTTGTGTTCACAAAACAAGGGAATTTTGTCCACTTTTGGCATTAGCAGAGACTTTGAACCATCCCCTTCCCTCCCCATTTTGTGGACAGAGTAGTGGCTCGGCATGCTGATCTTGGGGTAGCTTTGTCAGTCTCTGAGCTGTCTGCCAGCAGTGGACAGGATGGAATCTCAGGTGCAGCTTTTGGCTGCGTTGCAGAAAAAGAGAGTTTGGTTTCGTGCAGCTGATCAGAGCAGGGGAGGCTCTCTCTATAGTGAGGAGCTGTCTTGTGAGCCTGAATGTTTGTCAGCCAGAGCTCTGGAGTGACCTGACTCAAGCAGTCTGTGGAGGGTGTCTATCTGGCTTCATGCTTGGAGTAGTCCTTCTCCTGTGCTATCACCCTGCCCCTGGCTTTGGTTGCAGGTAGAGGCCCTGATCCGCAGGACAAGCCAGACACTGCAGCTGCTGATCGAACACGACCCTGTCTCCCAGCGACTGGACAGACTGCGGCTGGACTCTCGGCTCCCAGTCCACATCAAAACTCCCATTTCGCCTCGTCCCATTTCCCCTCTGGATATCAAGGAGAACCTGGAAGGAACACTGCGCCGGCGCTCCCTCAGGTACAGAACCTGGGAGAATGGCCTCCCAGCTAGTGCTTCTCGAGCCAGAGTGCCAGGCCCTCTAGAAGCTGCCCCACTTCAATAACCTGGGGGTGCAGCACCCTGCTTATAGCTCCTGTCCAGTTGCTCGTGTTTAGCCAACTCTGGAGCCTGGCTAAGTGCCTGGAGATGCAATAAGTCCAGTCTTGATAGGAACTGTTGCTCCAGCCAATGGGGGCCCTCTGGTTCCCTTTGTAATCCTCTTCCCTTCAGGCTGCCAGGTGCAGTAATAGTGATTTGTCATTACAAAAGCTTAATGAGGGGCTGTAAAAATTGTGACCTCTTAGCAACGGAAGCCTGAAAGTTCCAATTTCTGAGGGATGTGACTGTGCCCCGCTAAGAGAGGCCTGGGACTTCAGCTCTAGAAAACCCTCCCTTCCCAGCCTGGGTAAACCCTACTCTGCTGTCCTTACCTTGTGCACACTGCAATTTAGGTGAGTCTCTCCCTGACACCTGAGCCCTCACTTGCAATTAGAAGTAGTTTCTCATATTGAGGTAGTGCCACTGATTAGGTGGAAGCCACAATCTTTAATGTTAATTGATGCATGGCTGGGAAAGCAGCCCGGCACTGAGCCCGGCACTCTGGCCATATCTGGTAACCGTGTGGGTGGGTATGTGCTGTAAGACCTTCCAGGTTAGGAGGTTTCACAGTTCTGCAGAGCTTGATGGCTGCCATTGCCCTGGGTTTAGAGTAAGTGACTTCCTCAGCAGCGTCCTAGATCTTCTGTCCTGGTCTACTCCTCAGGAGAAGCAACAGCATTTCTAAGTCTCCTGGTCCCAGCTCCCCGAAGGAGCCCCTCATTCTGAGTCGAGACATCAGTCGCTCTGAATCCCTGCGCTCCTCCTCCAGCTATTCCCAACAGATCTTCCGGCCTTGTGATCTGATCCATGGTGAAGTACTGGGGAAAGGATTCTTTGGACAAGCGATTAAGGTGAGGGGGGCAAACCTGGAGGCCTGTGCTTGACTGTAGCTTACAAAAACCTGAAAACACCACAGCAAATCCCAAGTGACTTTTCCTCTCCTCTCTGTCATGCTCTGGTTCTTGGAACTTAACTAGCTCTTCTGGCATACCCATAGTCTTCTGTTCTCTTTCGTTCACTTAACTTGAACGTAGCTACTATGAGAGATGGATTAGACTTTGTTGGAGGGTTTCTCTGCAGCCTGGCTTGTATATTAGCCTAGTATGCTGCACGTGGCTGTTTCTGGTTAGCCCTCCCATGTGTGGGTCAAACCTGCAGGAGGAGTGAGGGGGGGAGTCCTCATCATTGCATGATGCGTTGGCTTTATAAAGATGCCCACTCAACTTCCAAATCCATTTTTGGATTTGTTTATGTTTATTGATATTGGTTATTTCCTTCAATGAAAGATACTTCTGGGCAGCTTACTTGTCAAGGAGTGAGCACTGTCTTCCTCTGCTTCATCCTATGTAGCAGTTCATATACTCTACTACTCCTATAGTAATCTGCTGTGCTCTGTTGGGAATATGAGTGCTTTGTAACCTAGACTACGCTGTTTTCAGTCCTTGGTATATGGTACTTGTACTAATGGGCATATCTTTCTTCTTCTCTGCTCATAGACAAATATTAGGCCAGGTAAGCAAAACTGTTTTTGTCTGCAGCATGTTTTGCCATCTGCATCTCCACTGAGTTACAGCTCAGAAGCATTTTCCCTCTGCTCCACTGGCTAATGGTGGTCCCATTTTGATGCATGCGCTGAAGAAACCCCCTCATTGAGATCCATAATTGCACTAGTCTTATTTAGTGTAATTGATGCAGCAACTTATGAATTCCACATAGCTTCCCTTCACCTCTTGTTAGTGTGCTTTAGACCTCTCCAATGTCTTCTGGCTGGAAGGTGTGTTGTGTCTTGACATGCTGCTAATGTTTGGATGCTTTACTTAGGATGGGAGGATTGGGAGGGACAATGTGTGTGTATTAGGCACCCTGTCTTGGGCTTTCAACCTAGTGCAGAATAATGCCAAGTTCTTCAAGGTTGTATACAGTATGCAAGTGTAGGGGTCTTTCCAATAGAGCATGGTTTTCCAAACTCTGGGCCAGTGGTCCCTTTCCAGGCTGGCATTTGTTTTACAATTCTTCTCCCCGAGACCAGAGGAAAATTTTTATAGTTTTAAAGTTCTGGGAGTGACTTACTGTGAAACTTCACAAAGATACAAAGACGGTTCCCTCCATGTGATGGGGACATCTGTCTTGTGAATAGATATTTTGAGACCGAACTTGGGGAAATGGTTGCTTTTGACTATTTCACAGTTGTTAGTTGTACATTCTTGATGATGTGAAACCTGACTGATAAGAGGAGGGCAGTGGGATTAGACATTTTTAAGTTTTCTGCAGCTAATGCAGTTACAAACTCTTGACTCTGAGTTTCTGGTTAAAGCAAGCTGCTGGGCTTTGCAAAGGCTGGGTCAGCACTACTGAGCTGTACAGTATCTTGGTTGAGTGAGGGTGGTGGCTTCAACCTTCTCCCTTTGGGTCAGCAGAATAGTCTTGTAGGTGGGTCTTGTGTTTCCTTAGATGCTGAGGTAGAAGGTCTGGAGAGATTCTCCTGGGTTTTACAGTCAGCGTAAAGTCTGAAACCCAAAAACTATAGTTTCTTTTGAGCTTCAGATGGGAGGCTGTGTGGGACTCTGTATTCAACCCACTCCTGCCCTGTCCTGTGAAAACCCTGCCTACTCTTGCATGTTTTCCTTTAATTTTATCCCCTTCCCATCTGCAGTGACATTCATTCCCATTTCAGTTTGGCATAAGGGAGAGGCTTCTAGCATACTGATTCCAAGCCCAAATGCAAGGGGGCTTTTCCCCTATGCCACTAAGAGAAAAAAATGCAGTTTTCCACAAATTCCCCTAAGCAAAATTATTTTCATGCCAAATAACCCCCCATAACAGAGCTTGCTACCCCCTCCCATAGACAGGTCAGCTGGGCTCCATAGAATACTGCTTCACTTCCATCCATAGCTTCTGTGGATGGAAGCAGCTGCTCTGTGCATGGTCAGGACATTTATCTTCTACTCCTGGAGAGAAGATGGTTGTTGAGGTATCCAGAGATCCTGGCAGAGTCGAGTGATCCACCTAAACAAGTGGTGCTCAACTTCTTGGTGGCATGAGCTGGATGATTGGCATGGGCCTGACTGGGGTTAGCATGCCAGCACCAGGCTCCATGCTGCCCACCTCTGCCCTCCACTGTCAGACTGAGGCCTGTGCTACCTTCAGCTCTGTGCTGCAGGATTGGCCCGCATGCCACTTCTAGCAAATGCTCTTAACGCTCCCTGCTACCAAATTCTCAGACTTGTGGGGAACTCTGCAGGCTGGATGGCATGGTTCTACGGGCCAAGCACCCCAACCTAAGCTGAACTGCTGACTGAGCCAGCAAGTGAAGAAGGTCTGCAGGGTAACTTGCCCTGTGATTCTTCAGAGTTAGGGTGGTATTTTACCTTGGAGATCTGCCATCTTCTGAGTTTGAGGCTTTTGCTGGATAATGCAGTGCAATAAAGCCATGAAGTATTGGGTGGGGCTGATGGCTCTTAGGAAATACCTGGCACAGTTTTTTGGGACACTTAAGGGCCTGGTGATTATGACCCTGTGAGGCCATGAGACTTGTAGCTGCATCTTGCCTGCCAGTGCTTTGGGAACCTTGTGGCAGACTGCAGTATGGGAACTTGATCACCGCTTGTCTGGACTAAACAGCCTGTGCCTCCCAGCACAGCCTGGCAAAAGAGCAAGTCTTTGACACGTTGAGCAGAAACCGGAAGGCATCAAGGAATCTGGGGAACTTAGGATGAATTGCTTAGCTGCTCAGCCTGCCTCACAGAGTGTCACTGGGAACGTTGCTAGTACAGTGTAAAGCTGATAGGCCTTGTATATCATGCTGTATACATGCTTAATGGTGTCTGTGCAGTCTTGCATGAAAATTCCAGGCACGTAGGAGTGCAGAGCTAATGCTAGTAGCTGAGGCTGTAGCATCCTCCAGAGCACAGCCACATTCTGCGCTGGTTGAAGAGGATCACCTACTGAAGATTTAGGTGGCCATATGGCGTAGCCCTTAGGCAGGCCCTGAGTTGTTTGCGCCCATTTATCACTTCTGGAATCCTTTTATTTTATTGTTTTGGCAAACCTTTTGTTTTCAGAGCAGTTCCCACAACTCCTTGGATCCTGCCTGAATGGCCTCTTCTCTCCATCTCCTCACTTCAGTCCTATGCCCTTGTGTCCCAGTGCTTTGGGAAGCTGTGCATGAAAGCATCAGTTTTCCACAATCCCTAGTCTTTTTCCTGCAGAAACAGTGTCTGTCTCCAACAGGTGACTCACAAAGCAACAGGGAAAGTGATGGTGATGAAGGAGCTGATTCGCTGTGATGAAGAAACACAGAAGACTTTTTTGACGGAGGTAGGAGCAAGGTCTTGAGCGAAGACAACCGAGCCAGTGCTTCCCACCAGATTGGTTGCCCATCTCCCTGCTCCCATTGGCATCCTGATCCTGGAGTAACATGTTGGTAATCCTGCAGGCACCAGGACTGCTAAGAGGGGAAAGATTATGTGAGAGGGAGAACACATCTGGCCAGATGCTTGCTACCATTAAATATGACTAATTTAAAATAAAAGCAGACATAGATTAGACTCCCAGTTCATTAATTTTCCATGCTAAAAGGCACTTTTTTAGCCTAACAGGCTGGGCAGTGTTTTAGTGTTAGTGTACTGGCCTTGTCCCCCAAGGTTTCGCAGCTAGTGTTGTGGCACAGAAATATTAATGGGAAGCTCAGACCTGATTGGTGTGCAGTTTATAATACATGCGAGAGGGATTCTTGACCTGTTCCTTTGGTGCCTGCTTGCCAAGTTTCCAGAGTCAGGCTTTGCTTGTGAATGCAAGAGACAGGGCAGCAGAGTCTGAGAGGTCCCTTCCAATCCTGTGTTCCATGTTCTAAAGGCAGCCTCCAGTTCATCCTAATGCTTCCCTTCCAGCTTCAAGCACATGCCAGCTGTACCGTAGAAGTCCTGTCCCTTGTGCTGTAACCAGGGCTTGGTGCACTCTCCTGGAATATTGGGAACGGGCCAGTTTGCTAAAAGGATGAAGGGGCAGGAGGGGATCCAATACCTCGAGGCTGGGCTTGGTGGAGGTGTAATGTTTTGCCAGCAACTCCTGGAATGGAACAATTCCCCTTGCCCCCAAGGTTAGGATGCAAAATTTTAGTTGGGCCTACTCAGTCTCAGGCTGGGTTGTTTGTGCCTACACAGGTGAAAGTGATGCGCAGCCTGGATCACCCCAACGTCCTGAAATTCATTGGCGTGCTGTACAAGGACAAGAAGTTGAACCTCCTCACCGAGTACATTGATGGCGGGACACTGAAAGACTTTCTCCGCAATGCAGTGAGTGCCTTCCTGGGTGTCCTGACTGATCTCCAGCCAGGGTGAAACACTGCCTGCACAGCATTGAATTCAGATGGCCTGTCCTGCAGGAGCTCAGCAGTTCAGGCCTTGGCTTCTCCGTCTCCCCTTGGAAGCCAGTTCCCCTAAAGCAGGGGGAAGCTGTCCCTCCTTTAACTGGCCCTTGGAGAAAGCACCTCACTCTGCAGGGCTGTGTTATGTTCCCCAGATGTTTATTCCCCGTAAAAGGCTGGCACCACCTGGCTGATGTGACCATTGAAGGTTCCTTGTCTTGCAGGACCCATTTCCCTGGCAGCAGAAGGTCAGCTTTGCCAAAGGAATTGCCTCAGGAATGGTGAGCCAGATCCCTTTGATTGGGAGAGAAGCAAACTGCCAGGGGTTACGGCTAACGCATTGTGGCAGTGCGATCTGTAGTGGGCTGAAGAAGCTTTACAATAGGCAGGGGTGTACGATACATGCTGAGGGCTGTGTTCATGGGATACCTGCTAATGCCATTCTCTTTCCTCTGTTTCAGGCCTACTTGCACTCTATGTGCATCATTCACAGAGACCTGAACTCTCACAACTGCCTGATCAAACTGGTGAGTTGTGCCCTGAAGTCTGGTCCCCCGTCTCCTACCCTCTCTCTGACTTCTTCCATGTTAAGCTTTCCGCAGCAGCTATACATCTTGCCCTCTCTGTACAAGTCCAGGACTATCCCTTATGCAGTTGCATAGCATTTCTGTTAGGCTGGACTTATGCCCCAGGCAGTCGGGCTGCACCTGGGAAGGACTGTTGCACAGTCTGCTTATCTTGCTTTCACCTTTTCCTCTGTCCCACCCCTGATGAATTGTTTCCCTCTGCTTCTCCACCCTGTACTGCTCTAGAGCTGTTCAAACCTGGCACTCTGCAGTTGCTGCTGTTCCTTCGGTTCTACAGTGCACTGTGTTCACTTCTGTCTGAGATCCATAGGGGCAGTCTGCATAGTAGTGTATCCATGGACTCTCACCTATAAGTTTTGTGTCTTCAGCCCTGTCTGTGTGTTCACTTAGCCAAAATATTGGCTGAGCCGCATGGCTTCAAACCCCACAATCAGATCTGGGCAGAGTGAGTTTCCTGGGAAAGACTTCTGGCTAGAATGAGACAAACTGGATGGAAAAAGCCAAATGTGTTTGTTAGCAACCATGGTCAGGTTTAAATGACCAGTTAGATAACTCCCTTGCCTGCTTGTTGGACTCTTTCTTCCTTGTCCACAGGGTCCCCTCTCCCTTCTTTTCCCCACTTCAGTCAGCAGGTTCACTTGTTTACTCCACTCAACCACTTAGCTGAAGGAGGCTTCCTCACAGATACTGCTCTTGCAGTGCTCTCATGTGCAGTCTACACGTATTGTGTTTCCTGGCACTTTGCTAATGGGCTACTCTGGGGAGGAGCTGAGAGCACTCAGTTACGTGTGATTAAATCCCTTGGGTAGGACAAGACCATTGTGGTTGCTGACTTTGGTCTCTCTCGGCTGATCGTGGAAGAGAGGAAGAAACCCACCTTGGAGAAGCCATCAGCCAAGAAACGCACCCTGCGCAAGAGCGACAGGAAGAAGCGCTACACCGTGGTGGGGAATCCGTACTGGATGGCCCCAGAGATGCTGAATGGTAAGCTGCCACTGCTGGAGCAGGTGCTGGGTCACTCCAGGCATGAGGTAGAGCTTATAGAAATAGCAGAAGTTCTGGCTGTTGACAGTACTTAAAATTGTTAGCTGCCTGGAGCCTCAGATCTGCTGAGGAGTGAACTGATTTCAAACATGCAGATATGCTGGCCCACCTCTGCTTTGTGTCTCAGTCCTGGTGAGCTCCTGTTGCCTCCCATGCTCCTGGCAGCTCCTCCCTGCTGGCTGGCAAAGGCAGTGGTACTAAACTTGCTCCAATTCCAGATTTTGGTGACAGCAATGGAGACTTGGAGAATGGGACCTGTCCTTAGTCGGATCAAATATACTGGTGTGTCTCTGTTCTGATCATGATCTAGTGAACTTCGTAGTCACAGCGAGCAGGTCTGTAGGTCAGAGCTGTCCTCTAGCTTGTTAGACAGGTCCAGAGGGGACATGAGGGGCAGCCACCTGTGACTGGGTTCTCCCAGGCCTCAGGGTGAGGAGGGGAATAACTGGCTGAGGGCAGATCTTTGGCACAGAGGCTTGACATGTTAAGAGTAGGCATGGATTCCTGATGGGATGGTCTGCCCATGCAGGACCTGGAGGAACATAGTCATCTCAAACTTCTCTAGGGAACTGAGCCAGCCTATGACAAGGCCATGGCAGGAAGACAACCAGCCATCAAAGCCCAACAAGGGAAAACAGGGAACTACTTATGCTCCAGGCAATATGCCTTGATTTCCTTTGACAGCAGCTGTTCTGGTGCCCTGGGAAAGGAACTGCTCTGGGTTACAGCCTTGCCTCTTCTTCCCCATCCTCGGTCTATTTTCTGGCTGCTTGGTGCCACCTTACCTGTGCCCCTGCTCCTCCCCTGAGGCCTGTGTGGTAGGGGCCTTTTGGAGCAGGACAAATCCTTAACCACTTCAGTGAGGCAGAAGAGAGGAGATGTTGGCATGCTAAGTTGCATGTACTTGGCACCTGCCAAAAGAATGATGACCCATGAAACAATAGAGCTTACCCTGATACTGCATCCTGAGGGGAGGCAGGGCTGCTTCCTTCACAGAGGTGGGATGGGCCCTGCCATAATGCCAGGCTTGGCTGGGGAGGCAGAAGCCCCACAATATCCAGGCTGCTCTTGCCAGCCTGTTGAACGCTCTGTTGGCTGAGACCTGCTTTCTCTGCCTCGGAGCATTTCTGTCTGCAGAATTTAGTGCCTTTGCAATCAGTGCTGCAGAACTAGGCATTCAGCTTCCTCTGCAGACAGCTCTTAGTCAGTGACTGATGATTAATGTGCAGGGGCAACAGGTCTCCAGGGCTGATGCCAGTAGCTGCTTGCTTCTTGCTGAACCAGGGTATCCCTTCTCCCAAGCACCCCTGGAAGTAGGCTGTATCACAGACCTTCTTGAAATGCATGGAAGATGCAAGGTGGGCGCCCTGAGCTAGGTAGCCACAGAATAGCTATGGTAGTGGAAGCTTTCGTTCCAGTCCTCTGTGCATCCTGTCCCGTCTGCTTGGTAGGAGGGTAGTTTAGGTTCCAAGGTTCATCCCATTCTCACCCTGTCTGTCCAAGGCCAGTAAGATGCCAGTTATGGAGATGGCTCTTGTCATAATCAAAGCCACCATGCAGCCACTGGATGTTAGTTGCAGGTCCCTGGCCACTGAGGATGGATTCAGGTGCCCTAAAAATATAGCTCTGCCTCTTGGCCTTCTACTGTGTCACAGAAATTGCCACAGAGATCCTGCACCTTTTGCTGACTAACTCTGCTGCCTGGAATCCTCTAGTAAGTGGGTTCCCTCTGCCCAGTGGTGGATGCTCCCCATCTCCTGCAGTGGCTTCCAGAAGGCTGGGCGCTAGTAAGTGAGTTTGTTGTCTGAAATTAATCGATGATGGACAACAGGCTGATGGCTGGTCTGGTAGACTAGGACCCCCTTGCTGGCAGGGAGGGTCCTATCCTAGCGGGGATGAGGGCTTAGCTCTGCAGAACATCCCCTGAGCGTATCTGTGGGCCAGGGCGGTCTCCCTTCCATCCTCACTGGGATGCTGCTGAAAGTGAAGGGTGCTGCCTTCATAGAAAGAACAGCTGCACTGAGCACCTCAGACCCCTTGCTGGCCTGGCTGCCTCTGCCCAGAGCACTAATTTGTGCTCTGCTGATCAGGCCCTGGGCTGCTATGCTGTGGGTGCCAGGCAGATTACCTGTCCCTGGGACTGCCAACTCACGAGGCCTCCTGTGTTGTCTCCTGCAGGGCAGAGCTATGATGAGACGGTGGACATTTTCTCCTTTGGGATTGTTCTCTGTGAGGTAAGGCCAGGCTGCGCAGAGCCGGTCTCGTGGGGTGTTTTTGAAAGCTGTTTGTTCCTGCAGCCTGTCTCGTTCCTGTTCCTGTTCTGTCTTCTCTGCCCCGGGTGTTAGGGGAGGCAGCTCTGTGTGGCTGAGCCTGGGGCTTCTGGCACAACTGCACTGGAACTAGGAGCAGAACTTGGAGTTTTTTCTGCCTCCCCCATCTCCTCACTCTCCATAGGCATAGGGATGAGGGGGTCTCTGCCATAACCCCTTGGTCCAGTGGTAGATCTCCCTCCCTGTGCTTGGGAGCCAGAGCTGGGGAGGGGATGGGACTAGCTGACTTGCTTTAGTGCAAAGACCTCAGAAATCCACTAGTACTTTCCAGCCAGAGGGCACTGAGAGCTGAGATTCCTCTTCCCTCTCTCTCTTTGTTGCGACTTTAACTTGCCCGCAGCAGGGAGACCCCGGAGCTGGGGATGCTTGCTCCTGCCATGTATTTTGGGATAAGTAGGGCTTTGCAGTGACCTCCCCCCTCAACCTTTGAGCCAGGTGGCATAGAGGGGCTTGTGGCAGCCTGACAAATAGCTGAAGAGGGGACCATTCTCCCATGGGTAGGGGGATTTAATCATCGAGGACAACTTGTATGCACTGCTATTTGCCTGCCTGTGCTAGGGCATTGAGACTGTCCTGTCCTTGCTGGCAGCGATCCCCTAGGGAGGAAGTGGGCTTGGCCTGCCCTTCACCTGCCATAGGAGATGTACTACCAGGCTCAGCTGGCACTTCGGGGTGGGTGTGGTCCCTGGGTTGCTGTGGATGCTCTGCTTGCTCTATCAGGTAACCGGCTCTATTCTAGGGCAGGTGCTGGTGCCATCCTAGCTCACCCTCTTGTTGCTGGTCACTAATGCTTCCCTGGGGTCTACTACCCACTTGGCAGCACCAGAGAGTAAGTGGCTTCCTTCTCTCCCCAGATCATAGGGCAGGTGTATGCTGACCCCGACTGCCTCCCTCGCACACTGGATTTCGGCCTCAATGTCAAGCTTTTTTGGGAGAAGTTTGTCCCTGCTGACTGCCCCCCAGCCTTCTTCCCGCTGGCTGCCATTTGCTGCCGACTGGAGCCGGAGAGCAGGTGGGCTGTGGGTTGGCATGGGTGGACGTAGCTCTGTCCAAGTGCCATACCTCAGGATGGCCATAGAGGGAGGGCAATCTCATGCCCCTGTGCCGGGGGTAGTATTGGGAGGGGGTGCAGGCCTGTTTCCCTGACCATGTGGGCGTGGACCTACGGGGGGCGGGGAGTGCTTCTGTGCATGCAGCGTTCCCATCCCACTGAACCAGCCCTGGTGTTGCTGCCCACTCATGTGCGCTGTTACTCTTATTCCTAGGCCCCCATTTTCAAAGCTGGAGGATTCCTTTGAAGCCCTCTCACTGTACCTGGGGGAGCTGGGCATCCCCCTCCCATCTGAGCTGGAGGAGCTGGACCACAATGTGAACGTGCAGTATGGGCTGAGCCGTGACAAGCTGCCAGCAGACAGCACCTAGGCAACCTGTCCTGCTGTGGGTGCTACTTCCACTGGCCCCTGTGTGAGCAGCAGGTAGGGAGAGGCACTTCAGCTACTTCCAGGGCATTCAAGGGCACCACGCCACATGCTTGCTGCATCGCCTCCCTTGTGACACCTGTGTGCTCTCTCTCCTCGGCCTCCGGGTTTGCAGCGGATTGATGACACGTCTTGGAAGTGTAAGGGACCATGTCCTGCCAGCCGCACTGAGGAGGTTGCTCCACACACGCTCCAGGCCCCCCCATCCTCATTGCTGTGGTGCATTGAACTTGACACTTGACTGTAAGCTGTGAAATCATCCTGGCCTCTCTGCCAGGAAGGGAGTTGCTGTAGGAAGCCTCCTTTGTTAGGAACTGCATTTCTGGGCTAGCCCCTGGCAGGCCCCCACCCCGGACCACCCTGCGTGGGAGACCTGTTGAATTCACTACAATTGAGAGTGCAGCTCTGCCTGGCTGCCTTGCTTCCACCCAGTGTGCACTGGGGATGCTCCAGAGCTGCCCCCAGGCTGGGAACTTGGCTCCTTGTGGAGAAGCTCCAGGAACTGGAGCACCTCTATTGCAGTGGCCGCCTGTGGGTAACTCTAGTGTCTTTTCACACCCCCTGCAAATACCTCAAAGAGCCATTTGGAAACACTACAGCCAAGCTCTGCTCTGCCGCAGAATGCGGCTGAAGCTAAGATAGGGCCAGCAACAGGCCATTAGTCTGAGCTGCTCAGGTGCCACCTTCCTCTGAATCAGTCTGCACAACTACCTTTCAAGTCCCAACCCCTGTGAAATGCACTACAACTGGGAGTGCATTCATTGTTACCCCCCCAGCACAGAGCATGGCCCAGTGCTTCCATCAGTTCCCCCATGCCCTGACCAAGCAGGGTGCAGCCAGAACCCAGCTGAGCCAGTGCAGTTGAGGCTTTTGGGAAGGGGACATGACCTCTTGCTTTAACTTCACCTTCCTATAGAAGGAGCTCCTGCAGGTGCTGGCTGCAGAGACCAGCTCCAGTGCTGCTGCCCCCTTGACTTCTACCTGCTGCCTGTGCTGGGAGCGGGTGTCACTTGGATCCCTGCAGGGGCTAGAACATGGTGTGAAATCCTGTGTGGAGCAGATGTGGCTGCCAGCACTGAGCATCTGGTTGTGCTCTAGAAACGGTGGGGCCTTCCCTGCGGCCTGTCGGGGGAGGCCTATGGCTGGGTCCAGTGGGTTTTGGGCATTCTGACAGAGCACTGTCCTCTGCTCCTCCCGCGCTGGACTGTGAGGGGGAGCTCAAAGGAGGGCAACTCGAGCGCGTTGTGAGTAGGAACATGAACTGTGTGACTTCAACGGTTGTTCTTTGATTAAATTAAAAGCAATAAATGTACCCTGTGGAACCATGGCTCTGTCTCCTTTCTCCAGTTTTTATGACTAAGAGGAGGTGCTGCTGGGTACCTGGCCCTCTAGTTCAGCAGGGCACACATGCCAGGGGAATCCTGCTATTTGAGAAGGTACTTGAGAAAAAGGCATGGAGCAAGCTGGGTGCCCTTGTGCCTGGCCTAGCAATACCCTGACCTGAAACTTACCGTATTCAGTGGAACAGACCAAAGTGAAGACGGCTTCTCTGAAGCCTGCCCAGCACAGTGCTGCCTCCGAGCTGTGATGGGCTTCTGAACCCATCGGCACGTTACTGTAAAAGGGGCTAATGACACAGTGCTCCTCCACATCTTGAGATGTACAGCTGGAAAGTGCTCTCTAGAGGGAGATCAAAATTGAGGTGTGGCTATAACGGCTGTGAAGCTGGCTCTGCTGCTGGCTCCTGGTCTCTTCCACTGTAGCCTCCCGACTTGTTCAGTGCCTGCATCAGCCTCTCCAAGCAGAGCCAGAGGCCAGGGCTTGACCCCAAGCAGCAGTAAAGCAGAATCCCTCGCATCAGAGGAAGAAAGGACAAAGAGGGATGAAGTCATCCCTCTTGGGGCCAACCTGCTTAGTCACCACCCTTGGTCTGGGCTGGAGCTGCAGGCAGCTGCTTTTCAGGAACATGGCTCTTCTACAATGGGACCCTGCCAGCATCCACAGCATCGCCGTCCCAAGGGACTGCTTCCCCCAAGGGCTGGGTTCTACTTAGGGTTGGGCTGGCTCCTTTGCATTGGCCCTGCTGGGGAAGAGCAGCCATGAAAAGGCCAACCAGCAAACTAGTCTGCAGCTGGCTGGCACGGGGTAGCAGGTCTCGCAGCTGGCCAGCTCGCCCCCTCAAGAACGGCCAGCTGCTGTTCCTGGTGCCCCTCAGTCACAGCATCACCACTTATCAGTAAGTTCAGGCACTACAGTTCACACTGCCTTTCATTCTCTGTTAAGCTTTAATACAAGGTGGCACAATCTGCCCCATCTCGTACTCATGAGGTATTTAAAACATTTACAAAGTAATGGTATTCAAAGGCAGTAAAAATAACCAAGCTTCAGTATTTTTCCCTTTTTGAAATAAATGTTGACACTAAAACCTTTGCTGTTACATGCTGCGTTTCTTCCACCCTCAGTTGTCACGCAGATGGCTAGGAGAGGTTACGATGGCTTGAACCCTGTAGGCTGGCAATGGCTGCAGCTCTGTTTAGCTCTTTGTAGGTGTTCAGGGGAGTTTATCACCTAACTACCCCCTCAATTCCCAGAAACCAAAGGCCTTTGGCCATTAAAGGAGATTGGGTAGCAACTCCCCTATCAACCTGCCTGTCAGCTTTTGCTGCATAGATATGGGAGGCTGGTACAGGAGCCAGAGCCCAGGTCGCCAATCCTGCAACACAGCTATTGTGTCATGCTCTGCTTGCAAGCAGGTTTGCTGAGTGCTTGCTGTGCTGGTCTTTGCTTTCCTGCTGAGCTCACGCTGCAGCTGGCTTCAGCACCGTCAGGAAACACAGCCCTTGGAAAATCTGACAGGAATTCAGAAACAGCTACAGCCCCTTAGTACAGGCACCCAGGGCTTGGCGTGGTTTTTGCTTGCACTGCTCCTGTCCTTTGGCTTTCTTGATCCAAGTGCTTTGGCAGGAGTCCCAGCAGACAGCCCATATAGACTCTTGAGTATTGGGAAACCCAGCACAGGAGAGTGGGAACATGTCCTTGGCCCTGGAAGACCTTGATTTGTTTTGAGTATTGTGGGGAAATCTGTTCCCAGAAAGCTACTGGAGCTAAACATTGCCCTAGGCCCAAATACCTTCTGCTACCAGTCAAGCTGTTGCCTTCTGTTTAACTGCTGCCTGTTCAAATGACCTCTAGCTCTCTCAAGGTGGGGGGAACCTCAGTGTGACCCAACCACAGGACAGGGGAAGGCCTTGTCCCAGCTACCACCCTTGAAAGGGAACCACTTTATTCCAAGTCTCCATCATCTCTGAGTCGGGGCAAAGGTTTCCCCCTTAGGATGCCAGGCTGAAACGCAAGTAACAGCGTGCACCGTTCCCCACAGGACAGGAACAGTGACGAGGAAGCCAAGACCATGCGGGGGTAATGGAATCCGGGGCCCATGGCAGGCCTGGCCTCTCACTCCAAAGAGAACGGAACGGAGCCGTCGGAAGCCAGCTGGTGCTTCCCCAGCCCCTGCCGTGCCGCATCTGCAAGTCCCGTCTATCCCTGGCATTCACCAAAAATAAAACAAAACACAAACGGGTCCCATGTCCCCATGTGGGAGCCCAGGGGCTGGAACTGTGGTAGGTCCAATCTGTGTTGCTGTGGCGTGGTTGCTCAGGCCCCGGGAGTGCCTGCCTGGCCCATGAGGGGCACATTGCCATCCTGCGTCTCCTCCACAGGTGTCTGGTTGGTGTGTACCTCAATTGTATTCTCATCCACCAGCTCACAGACAGGGTTGGTGAAAGCAGAGAGTGGCAGCGTGATGCGCTGCATTTCCCGCTCCTGAGCCTCCTGTTCCTGCTGCGCGTTCAGATCTCTGCTCCTGCACAGGAAGCAAAGGAGCCTGAGAGCCAGTCGGGGCACAAGGAGGTGCAGCAGAGAGGAGGATGCTGCTGTTGTAACCCCTGCAAGCCTTTGCAGTAAATGTGGATAGGCTGGGCTTCCCTTCAGCCCCTGCCATCACACCAGGCTCTGATCTTGGCGGCACCAGAACCAGGTAGTAGGCAAGCTCCCCCCTCTGCCCAGGCTTCTTCCTGCAGTAGTAGCAGTGGGGAGAGCTCAGGGTGGATGTGAAACCAACCCTCCTGTGTTGCTGCAGTGGAGCTGCCTCCCAGCCTGAAGAGCTGACAGGGTGGAGGGGGCCTGAGGTTCTGGTCACCACGCTGGCAGCATCTCTCTTAGAGCTCGGTGCTGCCTTGAATCAGACTCAGTGGGAAGAAGGATTCTTGTGCTGCAGCCTATGGTAACCCCCTCCCTGCACTCCTGCTCTCCAAGTCTGTTACTTATAGGATGTGTCCTAGCTTGGGAAAGGGCTTGTTCTGCTGGACTGTGGTCAAGTGTGAAGCGATCTGCACAACGGTGAGTGCCACAAGGCAAGCTCCAGCATACTGGTGGGAGCCTCCATGCAACCCAATGCCCTTCCCTGTCTTTACTTCAGCTCCTTCAGTTACACTGCTCTGGAGCTTCCTACAAGCCCTTCCCCGAGGATTTCCCTGCTCTCTGGAATACAGTGTGGGCTGAGTGACAGTCCCTTGAAGAGTCTGTTTCCGAAGAGGATTCTGTAACCCAGACTAATAGAGAGGCCAAGACCTGCAGTAATGACTGTGCCACTGAAAGGTCCAGCCTCCACTGGTGTCAGTGGCAACTGCACACGCCCAGCAGAATGAAGCCTGAGCACACTGATGGACCTGGGAGCTCTGTGAGCACTGGTGAGTTGAAGCTTTTCCTTAGCCCCTGGTCACCTGTTCTGGTCAAATGGTGGTGGCAGACAGAGCTGAGCAGGAGCGTGGCTGCCTGGACCTGAGAGCCCACAACCTCCAAACAGTGAGGGGAGCACTATAGGGCAGGGCCTGGGCTCCTAGGAACATGCAGTTGGCTAGAGCTGGCTCCTTGGGTAACGGGCATTATGCAAAGGGGATAATCCCTCCCTGCTGCTCTAGCATGCCTAGACAGATTCAAGCATCCCAGGCTTAGTGTATGAAGCACTTCTGTTCTCTGAAGATAGCACAGAGGCTGAGCTACAGCTCTAGTAGTTAGGCAGACACTCAATTATCTGGCTGAATGCCTTGCTTTAAGGCCTCATCCTGCTAGGTCCCGAGTAGCTGTAGCTCCCGGGATCAAGTGCCATGGGAATTGCAATGACAGCCCCATAATGGGGAAGCGCAGGCAGCAGGAGGCCCCTTTCCCCACCCCCAGGCACTGTACTTAGCAACCGCAGCGTGAGCATGGCAGTGAGATTTCCTAGGTTATAGAAAAATCTCACTGTGCAAATGGTAACAACTCCATTGGACACTATGGAGCACAGTGGTAGCGTCTCAGGCATGGCCTTCTCTGGCTCTGGGATGGCGGCAATACCTGGCTCAGTCCCTAGTTATTTAAATGTGGTCCTTTGGAGTTTTGACTGGTGCCACAAGTGACAACCCACACAAGCTCCCGGGAGCTGAGGAGTCACTCACTTTTTGTAGATGTAGCCCACACCAATGCCAGCTCCAATTGAAATGATTATCACTATCATGATAAGCCCCAGCACGTTTCCTGTTGGGGGAAGGGGGAAGAGAAGAACAGGCAAAGTGAGGAACCAGGCAGCACTTTAGCCTCTAGAGGCAGCATTCTGTGGGTCTTGGTGGTGGTACCCTGGGAGCCAGGGGGTGGTTGAAGCCAGTCATACACACCTAGGGTCCCCAGGTCCTTCTTCTCCTTGGACTTCATCCGGACTCTCTGACTGATCCCAATGGCAGGCTGTACAACAGCTGCCTCACTGCGTGATGGCAAAGTATCAGCAGATTCAAACACCTGGTCCATCTCCTGAGCAACCTCAGCTCCATCCGTAGGGACTTGAACTGCTGTGGAAGTGGTGGCTGTTAAGGGGGAAAAATAGATCAGCATAAACCAGTTATTTTAAAGTGATGTGCCTAGTAATCGAGGCAGGAAAGGTTTTCAGGCTCAGAACTGGGGACCTTGAGCGACCTTCACACTGACAAACTCTCATACTTCCTCTTAGGTGCTGCTACAGCTGCTCCCCCGGAAGGAGACTGTGGTCTCCCCCCTGCACTTCTACTGCTGCTGGCAGTCAAAGGCAGTAATCAAACAAAGAGCCAACCCCCAACCCAGACAGAGAGCAGAGGTGAGGCTGAAACCTGGGTGTCTTGATGTTCTGCAGAGCGGTATTTGAAGGGCCACCCAGTAACTCCATGTATCTCTACAGTTCAAGATACAGAGAAAAGTCAAGGCGCTCTGAACAGAAATGAGCAAGATGATCAATAGCTCCATCTTCTGCCCTCTCAGGAACCCTCCCTTATTTCTTGCTCTGTTTTATTCCTTCCTACCTCAATCTTCCTAATACAGATAAGAGGCCTTTGCAGGGGGAGCTGCCTCCCCCACCCCTTTCCAGCCAGCTACTGAACAGCACTCCCTGAAGACCGAACTGTGATACGATGGGAAAGGGAAGGCGAGACGAATTCACAAGGGTCACTGCAGTAGGGCACGGCTTTGCACAGGGACTTTGGAGGTGCAGAGCCCAGGCTGGCCATTGGGAAGAGAAGCAGTGGGAAAGCCCTGGCAGGCAGGCAGGTTTCTCCCAACAAAATGGCAGCGCTGCTGGCACTGCAGCCATCACGTAGCACGGTGCTGAAGGGTTGGTTATCGCGGCCTAAGGGAACTGACAGCTTTGAATAAAAACCCTCCAAAAGGAAACACACAGCCTGCTTTGTTCTTATGCAGGTGCAGCCAAGGCAAGGAAGACTAGGATGACTGGGGGAAGGCCAGCATCCCCCTCCTGCCTTGGGATGGGGGAGCTATGGGCAAAGACGGTGCAGCCGGACGCGTGTGGGTTGTCCTGGGAGCGGGGCAGGTGGATACAGCCAGGGGCACAGACCGGTCTGTGCTGCGGCTGGTGAAGCGCTGCCTACGAACCAGCTTCTCTGACATTACCCGCTACTGCTCGCAGTACAGTTTGAGATGCAGGTGAGGGGCGGCTCCGACGTGCTGACAAGGGACCTGCAGCTCCAGGCCCGTTAGAGAGAAAGCAGCAGGGGCTGGGCTGCCTTTCCGTGGGGGCGTTGGTGGGCGGAGCCGGAGGGAATGCGCCTGGCCCCGCCCCGCTGTGACGTCAGCTATTTACACTCTAGGTTCGCAGGGCTGGGTGACATCACCCCTAGAACTGGCGGCCCGAGCCTTGGAGACAGCGCGGGCCAATCGCGACGCAGGGGGACGGGCGAGGACCAGCGCCCCGCCCCGCTCACCTGGGCACTGGCCGATAGCGCAGGGGCTGCGCTCGGGGCCGCCGGCCGCGCCGCGCACGTAGCACCAGGGCGCCGCGGCGCCGTCCGGGTTGCGGCAGCTGCTGTGGTTCTCGGACACTGCGGGGCAGGAGGGGGAGGGTCAGCGTCAGGG